TTGAACAAAATTAATCATTTAATTTTTATAATTTTGACCCAATTATAACTCAATCCCTGAACTTTAACTGTTACAACTTAGTTCCTAAAATTTTGACTTAATTATAAATCAATCCCTGAACTTTACCTCTTGTAATTTAGTCCCTGAAGTTTTAACCTCTTAAATATTAGTCCCTATATTTAAAAAAAGTAAAATTATAAAAATTAAAAATATTTTAAAATTTATTACTAATATCTTAAATTACTAAAATATCATGCTGAATAAAAAACATTTATGTTATAAATTTATTTTTCATGAGCTTTGTTAATCATGGATGTCTTGTTAATATATAAACAATCACTTATTAATATTCAAACATGACTTGTTTATACATAAAAAAAAGTTATCAATTTCTAAAATCTGAATTATTGTATTTTTACAACTTATTCCTTAAATATTGACAATTTATCAATATCATGTTAAATGAAAAATATGTTATAAATTTATTTTTTCATGACCTTTATTAATCATGGATGTCTTGTGGTTAATATCCAAATAATTAATTGTAAATATTTAAATATGACTTTCACAAACATAAAAAAAGCTGTTAATTTTTAAAACCCAACTTATTATAAATACTTGAAAAACAAAATTCGTAACGTATATTTTTTGTGTGTAGCACAACATTGATAATCTATCATCATTAAAAAGAATAAGTTGTAAAAAAATAATAAGTCAGATTTTAAAAATTAACAACTTTTTTATATATAAATAAATCATGTTTGAATATTTACAAGTGATTATTCAAACATTAAAACAATATTTCCATGATTAACAAAAATCCATAAAAATACTTGAAAAATAAATTTATAAAATATATAATTTTTTAATTAACATATGGCCAATATTAGAGGAATAAATTATAAAAAAATAGAACGAGTTAAGTATTGAAAATTGAGAACTTATTTTATATATGAATAAGTTATATTACAATACGTACAAATGAATATTGAGATATATAAAAAAAAAAAAAATAGACGTCCTGAAGATGAGGATGCGGGATACTTCTTCATTATTAACACTGGGACACTGCATGAAGCAGATCCGTTTGATGAGGCTAGCCCCTAATGACTTGACTCGACTCTTTAAATGTTTGCATTAATTTCCATCAAAGTTTTGAAAAATATCAAAGCACCTACAAAAACTTGTGCTTATGTGAAAACAAACCGGAATAATGAAAGGATAGTATATCTTAACTCAAAATAAATATATTACTTGCTGGCAAAAGTAACTGAAAAACACCATATTTTAATTCAAAAACTTTAATGTTTAAATTTATGAATCATTCCTATATATTTTATATCAGTTAACATTAAGTCACCTAACTTAATTTGATGTGAGACTTTTGGCATAAGTTAAAATCCCCCTCACATTTTCACAACCTAATGACAATAAATATCTTCCTAATGATACCAAGATTAAATTTCTAAATTTTAAATAGAAAGTAGAAAATTGTATAAGACATAGGAAGGATAATTTATATAGACATATATTTAATTATGATAAAACTGAAAATATATATAATATTTTTAAGGGATTAAAGTTTCATTTAACTATTTTTAAGAACTGAGAAGTAGTTTATAACATGGCAGCTTTTTCTCCTTTTATCATAGATATTTTTTTCGGTAAGACACTTCTAATTATTTCATTAAAATTAAGAAAATATATAGTTAAATTATTGATGTCGTTTACAAAAGAAAAAAAATTAATTTACCTTGACTAAATCCATTATTTTTAAAAGTAATTTCTCTTTCATCTAATTCTTTATTATCTACTCATCGAAAATTGTAAAAAGATATAATAAAAGGAAAGTAAGTAATTATATACCTTCGTGCATAAAGTAACTTATAGAAAGATTGTAATATTTTTTTTTAGAAGATGAATCATGTATGAGATCAAAAGAAGCATATAAATAGTAATATAGTTTAATGATAAAGTATCATTGAGTGATATATAACCCCAAAGGCGTCCTCCCAGCCATGTTAAGGAGTTTACTCTTCCACCCTGACATGTGTTTTCTAGCTTTAGTCAAAATAGGCATGAACATAACAATCATTGGTTAAGATAATATTACGCGCACTAAGATCATCCTAATAACACTCTGAGTCCATGCGTAAAGTAATGAAGGGTACCATTTTGTAGCCTTATTGATTTGTGAGCAAGTGTTCCCATTGGCGTTGTGCTCACTCTTGAATGTAATAATGTCATTTTGTATAGAAAAAGAAATAAAATTACATATCATTTTTTTAAATAAGATATAAAAATTAATTTTTTTAAATATGTAAAACAATTGAAAGTATCTTATAATAAAGATCAAAAAGAGTATATATAGTAGTATGGTTTAATAATGAATTACCATTAAGTGATATATAATCCCAAATTTTCTACCTCATACATTTAGTAGCAACTATTGTATTCCTTATATGCTTGTCCCTTTCAGGTCAATTGGTTTATAGGACTCAAAATTTAGGGGCTTTTCTTATATCTTGAGTAATAGATGTCCCTTTTATTTTTTTTGACTTATAGCAGATGATTGCCAGTATTTTATGTGTGGATCAGGGTGTCTTTCTCACTTTCCTAGAATTTTTTTACAATTTGCAAAGTGAAATCCATAGAAATTTTCACTTTCTCAAGGCTAGACTCAATATGGGTTGATTATAATTATGTATTCCTCTTTTATTCTTATTATATGGTATTTATAATTATCTTGGTAGAATCAAAGAAAAATTTATTAAGTAATTAAAATTCAGTTTTCTGAATACAAAGGTGTAGAAATCAAAGAAGGGTAGTAAAAAAATAAAAATAAAAAAAACAATTGCCTCCAAGAGTCCCAATTTCCAGCTTTATTGACGTTTGGCCCAAATAAAAAAACACTTTATCGACACATGACATGTTGAGGTATAAGGCCGCCATCATCGTGAACCCCTTTACCCCCGCCCCTTGTATTGAATAATGAAAGCGTATTTTGAATTGTCAGCTTTATTTAAAGTAAAGGGTTCACAAAATTTGTGTCTGCTTTTCATTTTTGGAGGGTAATGATTGCTCATTAGTTACAACATTGTGAGAATGTAATATAATTTTAAATTGTTTATTTACATATAAATAAAATTTAAAGTTTATTTTTTCTAAACAAAGTTAAGTTAATGAGTTGACAACTTATCTTTACATTGAGGTGCGTTATAGTATATACAATGAAAAAATTGAGCAGAGAGACTTTATTTTAAGGGAGCTCAATTCAGGTGAACTTACTGGGATTAACTTGAATAAATTAAATTTATAAATAACTCAAATAATCAAGCAGAGATTATACTCAGATCTCGCAGAAAAAAAAATTATTATCAAAATTTTTTATGAAATTCACAAAATATTTCTTAATTTTAAACCCTGCATATTTACAATATGGTAAGAGGAATTTACAATTGAATAATAAATATTTATAACTTACAAAAAATGATAAGTTATAATGGCTTAAAATTAATTAATATTTAATATATTACATATTTTTTAAAATTCTTTATTTAAGTATTCAGGTCAAGTTCAAACCCAATTAAATTAGACTTGAATTTTTTTAACCTTGAACATCTAAAAATTGATGATTTTTAAACTTGCTTACAAAGTTTTTAAACTTATTAAAACTAGTTAGATTTATCGATTCTAATAACTGTCCATGCGGATGGAGTGAAGTCAATTTAAAAATCACAAAAACAGTTATTAATTCAAACTTATTTAAATTAGTTAGAATTATCAATTCTAATAACATAAAATATTTAAAAAAACAAACAGTAATAGATGAGCATCATCGTGCTCAAGTGCTAAAAAGCACCGCAACCGTTCCCGAATTGGCGGTAAAAAGCATCCGTACATGACAGCCGTTTCATGCACTGTTTCTCACTTTTCCGGAATTTTCACGCCAAGTGAAATTCACAAAACCCATTTTACATATACAGTAACTTGTAGGTTGTTACTTGTAATGTTGTATGTGTCATTGAATGATGAATTGGAATATACATCGGTATATCCACTACATATATAGTAATAGAGATGGTTTCCCTCAATTCTAATTTTAAATTTGAAAAAAAAATAGTATACCATACTTATTATTTTGGCAAAAAAAAAACTTATTCTTATAAAGAGTTATGAAATTTTAAATACATAAACATAAAAATAAATACTTAAAATATAGTATGAAAATTAAAGTTAATCTACTCAATTAGTGAAATAAATAGTTAAGTTAATGTCTTGATTGATTTAATAATATAAAATATTTTATTTATAACTATTAATTCTTGAACAAATGTTATGACTAATCCAATAATATGATTACATGTCTCAGACTCAAACTTCAACTCGAAATCATAAGATGAACAAATTTAGCTCTCTTAACTAAATGCGCTCAATAAAATAAACAAATAATTTTAAACTATTAAAATGTAACATGCTCAATTTATAATTGCAATAAAATAAAAAAAAGGTTTCAATAATAGTATGCAATTATGAATTGTGCAGGTCAAATTTTGACAATTTAAATTTATTCTTTATATGATAATTATTTTATAAAACAATCAAATTTGTTGAGGAAAAAAATTAAATCTTACCCATTTGTTTTATTATTTAAGAGTAGAGATGAGACGAAGGAGGAAAAAAAGGAGAAAGAGGATTAGGAAAGAATCCACTCCCCAAAAAATTTCACTTTCTAAGGCCAAACTTATTATATACTATAAAGTTTTCTCCAATATCAATATCATGAGATTGCAATTTGTATCTTTAAAAAAAAAAGAAAAAAAGAAAAAGCTTTTTTTTTTTAATTAAAGGAGTCAATTTTATAAATAAACAAAAAGACATCACAAGTAAATGACCTGGCAAGAATTAAAATTAAAAAAGTTCTGAAGGCGGTAAAGACAAGACAGAAAATTTAAACTGCTGGAAAAAAGAAAGAAGCTTGCGGATATTAGAAGCGACCACAGTAGATGGATCCTGATCAATGCTGAAAAGCTTTTTCTTGTGCATCAAAAAATAGAGCGAGGATCTCTGAAGACTCTGTGACTTGGCAAAGTGAAGAACACCAGAAAGGCAGAGTGAAGAACACAAGATCGTGTAACTTGTCTTCTGCATATTCAGGGTACGGTGTTCCCATTGCTTCATCTTTTACCGACGATTGAGATGAAGAAAAGCAATTGCAGACTCCATCTTTGTTCTTGTTAGTTCCTATTGCTGCTTTATTATGCCTCACAGCTGCCTCAGTTGGGCTTGCACAGTAAGTAAACTCATTCGGATCTGTTAGTGAACTCATTTTTTTTTTTTTTTAGCTGCTTCGTTTGCATCTCAATTTTGGAGAAACTTTGATATCTTGGTTTCAATCCTCCAAGACAAGCTATCATGACAACACAAGCATCAACATCATCTTCCATCCGTGATCATTGGACTTACGATGTCTTTATCAATTTTAGAGGAGAAGATACTCGTTATGGTTTTACAGGAAATCTATATCATGATCTAACTAAAAAGGGAGTTCACACCTTCTTTGATGATGAGGAAATAAGAAAGGGAGATGAAATTACTCCAACACTTTACAAAGCAATCGAAGAATCTAGGATGGCCATATGTGTATTTTCTAAAAACTACGCGTCCTCAACATTTTGCCTTGACGAACTTGTCCACATCCATCAATGTTTTAAGAGAGATGGACGGAGAATTTGGCCAATCTTTTATGAAGTGGAGCCCTCAGAAGTGAGACTTCAAAAAGGGAACTATGCACAAGCTTTGGATGACCATAAAATTAAAAACAGAGTTGATGAAAACAAGATGCAAGGTTGGAAGCTTGCACTACATGAAGTGGCAAATATCTGTGGCAAACATCTCATGCCAAGGTAATTTGCACCATTAATCCTTGATTTTTCTTTTACTAGCTTCATATTAGTATAGGAAAATTATTATGAATTTCTTACATAGTAAACATGGATTTATTGTGATTTCTCTCATTTTTTTCTTTGTAATTTGTCAGGCATGGTCCATATGAATATCAATTAATTGAAGAGATTGTGAAAGAAATCTCTAGCAAAATCAACAGGCTCCCCTTACACGTCGATGATTATCTTGTTGGAATAGACCATAGATTGCAACAAATAAACCCTCAATTACAGCTTGAATCAAATGAAGAGGTCATCATGTTTGGAATTTATGGAATAGGGGGAATGGGTAAAACAACTATAGCTCGTGTCATGTATAACTCATTGGCAGATAATTTTGAAGGTCTATGCTTCCTCCATGATATTAAAGGAAACTCAAGTAGTTTGGAAAGAATGCAAGAGAGAATACTTTCAGAGATTTTAGAGATGGAGATTAAAATTGAAGATGTGAACAAAGGAGTTACAATTATAAAAAAGAGGCTCAAACAAAAGAAAATCCTTTTGATCCTTGATAATGTTGATAAGCATGGGCAATTGCAAAAATTAGCCGGTAACTGTGATTGGTTTGGTGCTGGTAGTAGGATCATTATTACGACGAGGGACAAACATTTACTTGAAAAACATGGAGTTGAGAGAAAATATGAGATTGGAGCATTGAATGATGAAGAATCTCTTAAATTATTAAGTTGGAAAGGTTTTAGAAGTATGCAAGTTCATGCAAGTCACAAGAAAGTTGTGGAAAGTTTGATGCATTATGTGCAAGGTCTTCCCTTAGCACTAGAAGTTATAGGCTCTAACTTGCAAGGTAAGACTGTGAGGGAGTGGGAATCTGCATTAAATCTATATGAAAGAATTCCCAATGAAAAAATTCATCAACTATTGAAAGTAAGCTACAATGGCTTAGAACCAGCTGAAAAAGAAATTTTTCTTGATATTGCTTGCTTCTTCAATGGCTTCGTGAATGGAAGTTTGAACTATGTTGAAGAAATGGAGAAACTTGTTCACAATATTGATCCATACTATAGTATTAGCGTGTTGGCAGACAAATGCCTTATAAAGATTCAGGATGGTTGTATTAAGATGCACGATTTAATACAAGATATGGGAAGAGAAATTGTTCGTCAAGAATCGCCAAACGAGCCCGGAAAACGCACTAGGTTATGGATCAATCAAGATATCGTTCATGTTTTGGAAAAAAATACAGTGAGTAGCACTAATTTGGATACTCTACTTTCTTTTCTTTTCTGTTTAAAGATATGGTTTGCTTTTATTTTCTTCATGCAAGTTACATATTATGTTTTTGACTTAGAAAGTGAATGCTTATAGTTTGAATGAATGACTAAAACAAATAGAATGATCCTGAGGAGTGGGTTGGTGTTCTCCGAGAATGAATGTTTATAATTTGAATCAAAATTAATGAATGCTTCATAAAACATAGGGTTAAAATACAACAAAGGGCCATTGGTTAAGATTAGGGGGGAAAAAAACTTAAAGTCAAATGTCTAATAATAAATGACTTTTGATCTATATAAATTTTGGTTTTCTTTTGTAATATTATGAAAATTTTAATTAGCTAGCTAGGACCGGACTTCATCGTTTTCCTCTTTGTTTCTTGATATTACTTTCTTCTTGTTGATGATTTGGAGGAAGAACAAGTAACATTAATTGGGATATGCTCTTTTTTTTCTTGCTTTATATATATAATCTTATTGTTCTTTCTAATTTGCATAATTTCTTCAATTTTGGTGGCATTACCATTGATGATATTTAATTCCCCCCCCCAATAAGTTGTTCCTGTTTTGGAGAATAACGTACAGTAAGTATACACTATATATATATAGATTATGAACTTTTTCCCCATTTTTCCTTATAATTTTATTGTTCTTTTCACCATTTTCTTTTTTGGAGGAATCACAATTGATGAAGTTTACATTTATTTTCCTTATTTTATATTGAGTTGTTAACTTGCGCGTTTTCCTGTAGTGAATGTTTATTCGAAATCAAGACTTAATTTATAATTGAAATCAATTACATGAGGATTATTTCTTTTCGAATTTTAGTTTCTTGTCTTGGTCCTCACACTGTTATTATACGTACTTTAATCTTTTTACTTTAATGTAATATATTTATTTTCTTTGAAAAAATTAAAATAAAGTCTAAGCGGGGTGAATTGCTTTTTTAGAGATGTTTTTCTTAAAAAAGGTAACATGTCAAAAAAGATTTACTTGATCGAATTATAACTTTATGCACATCGTGTTTTTAATTTTGACTATGAAATTAAATTTTCCTATAGTTGTTTTATGGTATTTAATATTATCAGTACTCATAACTATTTAACAATTGATTTATGTCGGCTTATAAATGAATGCATGAAATTGAAATTATAATAAGTAATTTCATTAAAAAAAAAAAGACACATGCATGTGTGCAGCTAATGATGTACTCCCTCCACTTTTATATATATAAAAAAATTCTATCACACAGTTTAAGAAAATTAGCTAACCATAATACTTGTGTTTGAAGATAAAACAACTAAACTAAAATGCTCTCTATTAATCAACATGAGAAAGCATTAATTATTAACTTGTTAATGTAAATTATGAGGGGTGATTTAAAAAATAAATAATAAATACTTATTAAATAGGTGATTTTGTTTATATAAAAAAATAAATAAAAAGTGATAGTTTTTTCTACAAATAGAAATAGAGGAAGTATGATTTTTATTATTTGGCTTTAGGATCATAGTTTTAGGTAATTTGTCCAAATGTAGATAAGTAAACTAGGAGGGAAAAGCTTTCAACAAGATGATGAATCTCAAAATTCTTATTTTGAATTAGATAAGCGTTCAAAAAAGTGCGATCTTACTCGATTTATGTGATATTAAATTGATGATGATTAAAAATCCCAACATAATTTGTCTCCGAATATTCATTTAACAATAGAGTTTTATTGGCTTAATTAGAAATAAATTCATAAACTTGAATTCATAATTAAATAACGTTTCATAAAACGGAGCTAAAACGCAACAAATGATCTTTGGTAAGATTAGGAAAAAAAAACCTGAGTCAAATATCTAATAAGGAATGGCTTTTGATTTATGGAAATTTTTGTTTTCTTCTTTAATATTATTAAAAATTTGATTAGGACAAAATTGTTCTCCGCTTTGTTTCTTGATATCGTTTTCCTCTGGTTCATGTTTTGGGGGAGGTCTATATAAATAACACTAACTGTGATGTGCTTTTTCTTTATAATATTACTGTTCTTATAAGTTGTTATATGCTTTCAACTTAGAAAGTGAATGCTTACGATTCAAATAAAGACTGGGTGACCTAAAATGGGGGTTTTTTTTTTATATGATTAGCTAAAAAATGATAAGAATGCTTGACTTTATTAGTTTATATAATTTTGTTTGTTATGTTTGTAACTGAGTATCAACAAGCTAGGTCTGCGCAATTGGCAGATGTATCCTTCCTAATTAATACAAGTTTTATGGGAAAAAAATGTGACATAAATGGTTTTCTTGTTGCCAAATATGCAGTCATACATACATATCAAAATCCTAATATTTGTGATTTGCTTTTATTTTTGGCCAAGGGATCAGAAGAAGTTGGTATTATAATTTCAAGAGATCAATCCAAATGTATAGAAGTGAATTGGGATGGAAAAGCCTTCAAGAAGATGAAGAATCTCAAAATTCTTATGTTGAATCAGAATATGAAGTTTTTAGAAGGCCCCAAATATCTACCTAATAGTTTGAAAGTGTTGAGATGGCCGAGATATCCTTCATCATGTTTGCCACTCAACTTTCATCCAAAGGAACTTTTTGAATTGGATATGGGACTTGGTTGTCTAAAGTCAGTAGAAATGATTAAGGTAATTGAGGACTCCATCTTACGCGTGCATTTGTTTGGATATAGGTAGCCTTGTATTTGATCATTGCTTTAATTAGAATTTTTTTATGGTTTTGTCTTTTGCAGAATGTCTCAAATCTGAGTGTTTTGAATCTTGGAGGTTGCCAATACATTACACAAATACCTAATTTATCTGGCCTCTCAAATTTAAAGGAATTGTGTGTTTACGGGTGCCAAAATTTAATTGCAATTGATGATTCTGTTGGAGAATTAACAAAACTTGAAACCTTGGATGTGCAAGCATGTGCAAAACTTAAAACCTTTCCCCATGGTATCAAGTCACCGTATCTTCAAAGGCTCGAACTTTCTGGTTGCAAAAGCCTGAAGTACTTTCCAGAAATACTAGAGAAAGTGCAACTAACTGAACTGTCTTTTTGGGAAACTGGAATAGAAGAACTTCCTTCAACTATTTGCAATCTTACTCAACTTGAGGAGATAACAATTAGTGGGAAAGTTGAGCCACCAAGTATGGATTTTCTGTTGCTAGAACAATGTGATAATTTTGATGAAGGTTGTGGAAAGTTGCTGAAGGAAGTGATTCTATTTCCAAACTTAGATATTGTTGACCTCACAGAATGTAATATATCAAGCAGTAAGAGCCTTCAAAGTTATCTTTCTTGGTTCTCCACCATGAGAGAGTTGAACTTGAGCAACAATGACTTTATTACAATTCTGCCAGCATGCATAAAAGAATGTCGCTTTTTGTGGAGGCTTAGTTTAGGTTGGTGCAGGCATCTGCGAGAAGTGGAAGGGATTCCACCAAACATAAAACAGTTGGATGCAGAAGGTTGCATATCATTGAGTTTAGAGTCGAGAAACTTAATCTTGAGTGAGGTCATTAATTTTTCTGCCTCTGATTTTCTGAACATCTCTGTTAAGTATTTATGTGACTCTGTATATATATATATGTTTCTCAAAATTTATTTTTGTTTCACAGCAGCTAATTATTGGGGCTGCAGTGATCAGAGATGTGGAGATTGTTGATGATGAGTGTTTTGAATTTCTGAAAACAGAATTCGTTGTGCCAGCATCAAGCATTCCAGAATGGTTCCATCACTGTAGCAAAGGAGCACCTTTTTCATTTTGGTTTCGTAACTCCTTTCCAACTCTATGTCTTTGTGCTCTTCCTAAATTTAATGGTGACATGGATTACAAACATAAATTCATAGATTTGGTCCCTAAAGTAGTAATTAATGGAGAAAGAATATCTACGATATTGGACAAATATGATACCACATTGTGGTCAGGAAGTTTATGGGATCAGGAACATATAATCATCTGTGATCTTCGAGAGGAATACTTTGATGGAGATGATGAAGTAATAGATGGATTACAAGAAGGTGTGTGGCATTATGTGGAGGTTTTCTTGTCATTTTCTCCATCACCACCTGATTGGATGGGTGTTGTGAAAGAGAGTGGAATCTATATACTGAAACAAGATTGTAACATGGAAGATATCCAATTCACTTGTCCTAAATTTAATTCAATTCCCATGAATATTGTCCAAGGTACGTATTCTATTTAATACACTAGATTACACTAAAATTTTATGTTGCTTGACTAAACTACTTTTTTCTCTTTTTTTTAATAAGTTAACATTTAAAATAAAATAAAAAGATATTTCAATCCAGGGGGGAAATTTTTTAAATTTCATAGGTTGTAGGTGATATATGAATTCAGTTTTGTTACATTATATATTAGTTAAAAATTAAACATAAGTTGTGCAATTAAATGTACATATATTTTCTTTTACATAGATGTGTGTGTATACTTACGTCAAATAAATAAATAAATCATTTAGCAGTGACGCTCCGGTGATAGTGAAAAGTAATGAGAAATAATAATTAGTAATTAATAATAATTGATAAAGATGTTCATGTTATTAGAAGAATTTTAATTATTTACATTCTAATTTTATATTCACTTAATTACATATGTATGCATGCATCTCAATAATGATGGTTAATTCTTCTATAGAAGAGCAACCAATGCTGAAAAAGAGGCGGTTGATGGAAGATAATGATCTTATTTCAGTAAGTTCTTGTATTATTATTTTTTAATTTGAATTTGAATTTGAATTTTTTAAGCACTTTATATGGCCTTTAACTTCCATATTAATTAATTAACCACATTTCAATTTATCTGATTTTTTAGATTCAAGATTCCATGAGTGTTGACCAAGGTGATGCTCTTGTCAATTTCCTTTCAATGCCTTTCTTGCTTTAGCAGCCCCTTGCACTCTATCTCTTTAGTTAATGTAATTTGCCTTTTCATCCAAAAAATAAAAACCAAGGTGATGCTCTAGTCCTCTTTAGTTTTTCTGAAAATATGATTAGGATGCATCATCCAACTTCCAAAAAATTTAATGTAATAATCATATCCATCCTTTTATTTCAAGTAAGTTTCTTACAGTGTTGATCAAATTCTAGAATGTTGTGAATGTATGTGTATATTCCAATATATCTTTCACATAGTTTTGAAAACAATGATATCTAGTTCTCTCATTTAACAAAAACAGAACTAGAAACCCCTGTTTCAGGTAAGAAGGATTTCCATAGCAATCTTCTGCAGCTACAAGTAAGTAAGCTCATTTGTTTCAGATTTTGGGACATTTACTCAGTTTTTAGTGGATTAATCTACAAGTCTTGTTGAGTTTTCACAAATATTGTGTAGGAAATTGAATACGAAAGCAAAATGCAGACAATAAACATTCAATTTTCAAGTAGCGAAAGTGAAGAATCAGTTAAAGTAAGGAGGCTAAATAACAATATGCCACATCAACAAGATGAAGCTTTAACCAGTGATCAAATCACAGAGAGCTGTGAATATGTCATAAATGGCAAAGGAAAAGACATTGTACTCTACAAAGATGATCCCATTAATGGCAACAATATAACAGAGGTATATATTGTGATTAATTATATATTTTTTTAAGATTAATCAAGAAATTTTTTTACAGGTATTTTTTCAAGTGAGGAACATATATATATATTTACATTAAAATTATCAGGAAATACTGCTAGTTGGTTAACTCTTTTTGTTTTTTACCTATTTGCATGATTAGATGATCGGACAAGACTACCTATATGACTCAAATACCAAAGGCAGCATGACATGGGATCCAATGGAATGTGAACATGAAGGAACAAGTCATGCTAACAATAATAAGGATCCATGTGACCAGAGAAGACATCATCCATGGTTTTTGTGTTTTAATCTCTTCACTTTCGTTGCCTCGCTCTGTTCTTCTTCTTTATCATATTTCTCCATTACAAGAAACTAAAATGAATTATCATTGGACTCTTTAATTTGAACTCCTTTGTTAGATATAAATTCTGGGCTCTAGACTCTTGTAATGGTTTTGGTATCAAGATTTGGCTCATTTTAATTCACTGAAAATTGTTTGATGTAGAAACCTTATTCATATGATTTACATTCTAATTATTGACATTCTAATTAATTGTTTGATATTAATGATTTCTATGTTAAAAGAATTTTAATTATTTACACTCTAATTTTCTGTCCACTTGTATATGTATGCAAGCATGCGTGTCAATAATGATAGTCCTTCCACAGAAGAGCAACCAACGCTAAAAAGAGGTGGTTGATGGAGGATAATCATGTTATTTCAGTAAGTTCTTATATTTTTTTTTGAATTTGAATATTTTTAATCACTTTATATATCCTTTACCTTCCATATTAATTAATTAACTACATTTCAGTGTTAACCAAGGTGATGCTCTAGTCCTCTTTATTTTTCTAAAAATATCATTAGGAGTAGGACTCATCCAACTTTTAAAAAATATAATTTAATGGAATAATCATGTCCCTCATTTTATTTCAAGTAAATTTCTTACAATGTTGATCAAATTCTAGAATGCCGTGAATGTGGATGTGCATATCCCAATATATCCTTCATATACTTTTGAAAACAATGATATTTAGTTCACATATTTAACAAAAACAGAACAAGACTCCCTTGTTTCAAGTAAGGAGGATCTCCATAGCAAATTTCTACCGCTACAGGTAATTAAGCTCATTTGTTTTGGATTTTGAGACATTTATTAGATTTTTGGTGGATCAGTCTATAAGTCTTCTTGAGTTTTCACAAATATTGTGTAGGAAATTGAATATGAAAGCAAAACACAAATAATAGACATTCAACCTCCAAATAGATCAAATGAAGAATTGGTTCAAATAAGAAAGCCAGGTATGAATATGACGCAACAAAAAGATAAAGCTTCAACCAATGATCAAATCACAAAGAACTTTGAAAATGTCATAAATGGCAAAGGAAAAGACATGTTACTCGACAGAGATGATGCCATCAATGACAACAATATAACAGAGGTATATGTTGTAACTAATTTATATCATTTTGAAGATTAATTAGGAAATTTCTTCATAGGTATTTTGTCAAATGAGGAACATATACATTTACATTAAAAATCATATAACTTGTTTTCTGGTTGAAATTGAATCATACCATTTTTATTATATAGAAAATATGATGTTTTCAGCAATGGAAGAGCACACATATAATATATCCTAAGCATTTAGCAATATGATGTTTTCACCATTGCCAGTATTTTTTTGTCATTTGCCCTTCTTTGATGTGTATGTTTGACTGTTTTTTTTTTCAGGTGGGAGATTTAGAGATAAATAAATAAATTGAGTATTTGATAAAAACACACATGCATACACATAAATATAGGGAAAATATTCAGAATACGTGAATGGTAGGGTTGCAATTGTGAAATGCTACTAGTTGATTAACTTCTTTTTTTCCCCCCTTGTTGCCTGATCAGATGACTGGACAAGATAACAAATATGACTCAAATGGCAACATGACATGGGATCCAATGGAATGGGAAGAATATGAAGCAACAAGTCATGATCATATTAATAATAATAGGATCAACATGAACAGAGAAGAGATCATCCATGGTTTTTGTGTTTCCATCTCTTCACTTTCGTTGCCTCGCTCTGTTCTTCTTCTTAAATAGATCTTTCTCCATTACAAGACACTAGAATGAATTATCACTGAACCTTATTTAATTTGAACTCTTTTTTTAGCTATAAATCCTGGACTTTGGACTCTTTTGTAATGGTTTTGGTTTCCTCATATTTTGATGGCAAATTAACACTGATTTGGATATTTAAATTCACTGCAAACTGTTTGATGCAAAATTCTTGTCCATATGATTTGCATTACAATTTCCTCTTCCAGTCACGGTCAGTGTGTCAGGTCCCTGCTTACCAATTTAATTGATCATTACATTAATACACACACACACAGATATTATATGTTTATAGTAATTAATCTGTTAATGATAAATTAATGGTAGGAGAGTGGACTGGCAAATAACATCCATGCAATGTTTCAGAGCATTTCTTAAAGTTAATCATTAAGATATTCAAATCAGAATACACAAGCTTCAATTTTATTATCATTATTTTCTTGGCTGGGGGGTTACCCAAGCTTTATTTTAAACTCAAGTAGGGGTGTAGGACTAAATATGATAGGTTTGTTTTAAATATATAGGCTATGGCTCTATGGCCAAAATGGTAAAGAACCTACAAGCTTACGATGCCTTACCCAATTGATTAAACTAATATATATTTTGTCTCGAGCAGTTTGGCTTCATTAGGGATATCCTCCTGCAAGATGGTCCTACTGTAGGCGTCTTTGAATTTAAATATATATTTTCAATATTAATCAATTTTAGTTTGAATGGCATCTTTGAATTTGAATTCTGTTGATGGATCCCTAGAATTAGGCTTCCTCATAGGCAAAGTAGTAGGATAGTAAGATTGATGATGCTGTAGTTTAATAAAAATGCTTAGAGCTTACTCTTTTGAAGAAGATTGATGATCCTGTAGTAAATCAACTATAGTAGTTTACATCAAAATAATCCATGTAACAGAACAAAATATGCATGCATGCTTATAGCCCAAGTCAATGCTGATTTTAACATCGTATTCAACTTGGATAAATTTACAACTTTGTTCTTAGCTTTTTTGTTGAGTAACTTTTGGATTTGTCCCTAGACATGATCAGGCCTCATGTAAATTTCAAAGACATAAAGTTGTAAAAATTCACATCATTCAAGTTCTCTCCAAGCTTTAATTTAACTGCTCCACACTTGTCTGCTGGCATTTTGCCCATGTAACCACCAGACACTTCTTCCAGATTATTGCAGTCCTTTACGGAAGCTTCTAATGCACTTACTTGCCGACTCCTTAACTAATGGCAGAGCAGGAAGCTGAAACAAAAACATCCATTTTTCCGTCTTTTCATCGTCTTCAATTTTTGTCAAGTATGTATGCCCAAAATCAAATGCACTGCCCTAAAAAATGTTTAGAATTAGCATTTATATGATTACTAACCAAGAGACCAAGTTCTACACCATTATTAACAGCATCCTCGTCACACTCTATATTAGCAGTAGCTTCCCCAAATTCTTTCTCATCAAGAATTTCTATCAAGGAAAAACTAGTAAATTGAATTCAATTCACAAAAACGCCATTGATGATCATTAGTTAGTCCGTTACTTAAGAAAAATCTTGAAAAAGGATTATGCTGATATAATTATTTTAGGTTCTCAAAAACTCATTGGCCATCACAATACAATTTTTTTGGAAAAAAAACCTGATATGCCCTGTTTTCCATCGGTCTCATTCATGAAATTGAATTCTATTGATGGATCACTTGTTGAGTTTGATTAAAGCATATCTGAGCCCCCAGAATTAGACTTTCTCAGAGGCATACTAATATTCCTCTTCTCATGAACAAGACTAAATATGCTAGCAATACTAATGTTAGGTGGTGGTTTTCATTTCCATAATTGTCACAAAAAGTATCTATTTAATTCTAGACAACCTGTCAACTTATAAAGAAAATAATTTTCTATCATTTTTTGAAGTGACTATAATTGAAAGTTAAATTCAAATTTTATACGACACACGATAGTGTTAATGATAATGACCTGGGTCCTTTCTTGAATATTGTGTACAAATTATAATATTCTTTAAAAATTAATTTATTATAAATACTTGAAAAATAAATTTATAATATATATATTATTTATTTATCATAATATTGATAACCTATCAACATTGAAAGAATAAGTTGTAAAAAAAGAATAAATTGGGTTAATATATATAAACAAATCATGTTTAAATATTTACAAATGATTATTCAGATTCATAATTAATAAAAGTGTATGAAAATCATTGAAAAATAAATTTATAATATATATTTTTTATTTAACATAATATTGACAACTTGTCAACATTAAATGGACAAATTATAGAAAATAGAATAAGTAGTAGAACTTTAAAAATTGACAACTTATTTCATATATGAACAAATCATATTTAAATATTTACAAATAAGTCTTTGTATATAAAAGAATAGACGTTCTGAAGATGAGGATGCAGAATATTGCTTCTTCATTATTAAATTAAATCTCAGGAAAAAATTATTAAATTAAATCTGTTATAAAAAAAAATGAATAAATAAATCGCACAAACAAGGGAACACTGCATGACGCGGCTCCATTTCATCATGCTGGCCCTAATGACTTGACTCGATTCTTTAAAATTTTGCATTAATTTTACCAAAGTTTCAACAAATGTTAAAGAACCTACAAAAACATGTGGTTTATGTGAAAATAAATCGGAATAATGAAAATACATTATATCTTTATTCAAGATAAACATATTACTTGTTGGAAAGAGTAATAGAAAGACACCATATTTTAATTCAAAAATTTTGTGTTTAAATTCATGGATCCTTTTTTATATTTTATATTAGTTAACATTAAGTCACCCAACTTAATCTGATTAAGACTTTCGGCATCAGTTTAAATTCAATCACAACATGACAACATAATAACAATAAATATCTTCCTAATGATACCAATAATAAATTTCTAAATTTTAAATAGAAAGTTAAAAATTTTATAAGACATAGAAAGGATAATTAATATAAGATATATATATATATATATATATATATTATGGTATAACTAAAATATGTATAATTTTTTTCAAGAGATTAAGGTTTCATTTAACTATTTTAAGAACTAAGTTGTAGTGTTTATAACAGGGCAGCTTTTTCTCCTGTTCTCATAGATATTTACAAAGGAAAAATATTAATTTACCTTTACTAAATGCATTATTTTTAAAAACAATTTCTCTTTCACCTAATTTTTAACTATCTACTCAACAAAAATTGTAAAAAGATACGATTAAAAAAAAGTAATTAATTATATACCTCTATGTATAAAATAACTTTTTAAAAACATTACAAAGTTTTTTTAGAAGATCAATTATATATAAGATCACAAGTGTGTGTGTAGTGACATAGTTTAATAATAAATTACCATTAAGTGATATATATCCCAAATTTTCCACTTCATACATTCATTAGCAACTATATTGAATTTGTTACATGCAGGCCACTTTCACTTCAATTGTTTATAGGATTCGACAATTATTTCTTGTGCCTTAAGTAATAGTTGTCCCTTTTATTTCTTGACTTAGAGTTGACGATTGCGAGTATTTTATGTGTGGGTCATGGCGTGTTTCTCAAGTTCATATATTTTCTTGCAATTTGCAAAGTGAAATCCATATTCTGCATTATCAGCTTCATTTAAAGTAAAGGGCTCATGAAATTTCTGTTCGCTTTTCATTTTGGATGGTAACGGTAAAGTTCATTCTTGGTGTTCATTAATTATAAGAGAAATATAATATAATTTAAAATTTTTTTATTAAATATGAATGAATTTTAAAGTTTATTTTTCTAAACAAAGTTAAATTGATGACTTGATAACCTATCATTGCTTCGAGATGCATTATAGTATGATGTGTATCCAAACTTAAGATAAGGTTTTCCCCAATATTAATATCATGGGATTGCAATTTGTACTTTTTTTGCCCCCATTCCCCAAAAAACATAAAAAACAAAAAAGGGAAGAGAATTTTACGCGTTTTCTTCCCTGCACGATGTATGTGTTATATTGAATAATGATTGCAATATATATCCAATACATGTTCCAATACTGATGATAGATGGTTTCCTCTATTTTAATTTTTTATTTGAAAAACATAGTACACCATACTTACTATTTGTGGCCAAAAAAAAATATTTATTCATATAAAGAGTCACAAGATTTTAAACAGGATAAACTGGCCCACTAATAAAAAAATTTTGTACCCAAAAAATATAAACCAAATTTTTAAAAAATTTGAAACTGTGATCAATAAATATTGATATATAAAAAATTTATCACTAATATATATTAAATTTATTATAAAAATTTAAAAATTATAAAAATTTATTATTAATATATAATAGTATATCATTAACAATATAATAAACTGGCCACAATACAAATATAATAAATGTTATATTATTTGTTTGATTTGATTTTATAACTAAGTTATATCTAAAAAAGTCTTTTAAATATATTCAAAAATAAAAATAAGTACTTAAAAATATAATATGAAAAATCTGAATCAATCTAATTGGTTAGACCAGTAAATAATTAAATGAGTATCTTAATCAATTTAATAATATAAAATATTTTTTTTATTATTAGTTTAATGATAGTTTAATTGTGATTTTTATATTATTCCTTGAATAGTGATTGTGACCGGTCTAATTGCTTTAAAAATCTTAAATATTTTTTTGATGGGTTCTGCCTTTAATATTCGCGAATCAACGCGTTAAGGTCACTTTCACTTTTGATTTCCTGCCATTCTCGCTACGTTTTCATATTGACTGGGCTCTTATCCACTTTCCCATCCCAATCATTCCTCCTCCTTTTCTTCGAAATCATCCTCACCATTATAAATTAATTTATATTCTTACATATCCGTGAGATAATTTAAAGGTATTTATGGTGTATTAATTATATTTTATAATATTATTTTATATTTAAAATATTAATTATGAGAGAGATTATAATATAAATTTTAAAAAATTATTTGCATCTAGGTAAAATAGAATTTTTTTAAATTAATTATTTAATAATCTCTTTACAAGAGGTTTTCTATAATTTTTTATTCATAAATATAAGAGGTTGTTAGCATAATTTTTAATAAATGTAATATTATACCCTTATTACAAGGGAAAATAAGA